GAAATTGTAGTAACAAGAAAACGTGAAGAGATTTCAATACTGTTAAAGAATCTGATGCACAAATATAACCCAGACTCGCATTTAACATTGCCTGATATTACATTCCCAACATTAAATGGTAAGAATATATTTTTATTCTATTGTTTTATTAATAAATATTTTGTATATATATGTTATCAATAATTGCTGTTTACAGGTAAATTAATAGAAAATGAAGAACAAGCCGAGGAAAGAATGGATTGTGAAAAGGGTCCTTCAAATAAAGTACACAAAAACGACAAGGAATCTGAGGGACCAACTGTTACATTTCTAAAACAAACTTCATCCGGTGAAATTCTAGTTAAAAGAAATTTTGGTGAGGAGGCAATATTAAGAAAGACAATAAGACTCTCTAATGATTCAGAAAATAGATCTGTAGTGCAAATTAAACAGGAATATGGTAAAAAAGGTGACAATGAAAATCAAATAGTTATACCAATCAAACTGCACTCTAGTGATTTAGTTCAAAACTCTTTAATTGTGAATAAAGGTAAAAACTTTAGTGATAAAAAACATGGTGTAAATAATCAGACTGTATCCAGTGTGAACTGTGTCCGACAAAACATTAGTGAGAGTGACAGCAATTCATTTCTAAAAGGTAGAAGGATAAATAAATTAGAAGATGTGGTTAATGATTCAAATAAAAAGTTTAAAAGGAATGAATGCTAAGATTTTGCCTGTCCATTTAATCAATTTATTAAATTATTTTTTAATTTAATTATTACAATGTGTATAGTTGTTTCAAGGACTTGTAAATATTAGTTAATGCTATTAACTACATGTATTTAATACTGTATCTGTTTTATAAAATAATGTAAAAAAAATAAATGTATTATATAGCTTCCATAAATACAAAATAGTAAGTTAATAGTTGTGATTTTCTTTGGTTATGTCTCATAGTTTTTCTATATTAGAGTTAAGAACCCTACAAATTAAAATAAATCAAACAAATTATAAAATCTATTTCTTTCACACATTTAACAGTGAAATTTTTAATAAAAGATTAATAAGTAAAAAAATATATGTATGTAGTATCTTAATACTATGGAATATAAAACTGTAATGCAAATAATCCTTCAGTGTAGTATTTCAGATTTAAGAGTTCTTCATTATTATCTGTTATATCCAAATACTTAAAATTTTAATCATTTCTAACAGATGACATTAGCACTGTGTAAGATGCACCTGTATATTTCATTTTATAAATACATATTAATATTTTATAAATTAAAATTTTTCAAACTGTTACTTGAAACTATCATATAAGTACATGTAAATTGAGAATTCATATTCCAAAAATGCTCTAAATCATTTTGGGAAAAAGTTATTACACCGCTATACTGGTATTAATTAAACATACCTAAGAAACAACATTACAATGAAACTGAATTAAAATTAAGCCAGTGTGGATTAAACTACACAACTGAAATAAAACGTCTTGTAATATATATGTGCATAGGTTTATCTTTATACATATAATTCTTCTGTGAGTGTGTATGTCACTAAACTTCTCTCAAACGACTGGACCGATTTTGATGAAATTTTTGCGTGTGTTCAAGGGGATCTGGGAATGGTTCAGATTCACAATTTTGTCCGCTGGACAATGTTTTTTTAATTAATTTTTAATTTATTAGTAGTTGTTAATACAAACTTTTTTTTTTACATTAGATTTGACAACTAACTAATACGTCACTCATTCTGTCGCACTTCAAAATACGGAGATTTATGGCTTTAATAGGTAAACTCCAAAAATATAAATAAAAAAACGTAACAGATATTTCTTGTCTATAGGGCGATACGAAGTTCGCAGGGTCTTCTAGTCTATGTATATATTTCATGCAAGCTATGAAAGGGAGCGAGAAAGAAAATATGCGCGCGCACTGCTCCCTTGCCCCTACAGTAATATTCAAACCTTTTCTCAGTCGTTTAATCTGATCCAAATATTGCAGGGTAATTTTAATAGTATCTACATTAAATATTTCATCTTCTTATACATGTACATGCAATACACGTACACATGTATATACATGTACACGCAATAAAAGAGGAGATTATCCTAAAACTATGATTCTATCAGGGACACAATTTAACAATATTCATGACATTTGTTTTGGATTTAGTAAATTTTTCGAAAGCACGTTTTGTAAGCCTGCAGCAAAATACGATAGTCTCAACTCATCCGTACCTGAATCTGGAGAGCATATTGCTAACATAACAATCACAAAAAATTCTATTTTATCAATATTAAGGAAAATGGATCCCTCGAAAGGTTGTGGTAGTGACAAAATTCCTCCTATATTCTACATTCGTTGCGCCGAAAATTTAGTTGTACCCTTGTCAATTATATTTCATAAATCTCTTAACGAGTTTGCTTCGTTTCCCTCCAAGTGGAAAGAGGCATTAATTAAACCACTTTATAAAAAGGGACTAAAAAACAATATCCAAAATTACAGACCCATATCTATCCTAAACACAATAAGCAAAATCTTCGAAAAAGCAGTGATCAATCGAATTGCACCTACTGTTCATAAATCTATTCCTCTTGAACAACATGGCTTCATGAACAAACGTTCAACGTCTACAAACCTGTCGCTATTTACAAATTATGTTTTATCGTCAATGGACGAAAAGTATCAAGTCGATGCAATCTATATTGACTTCGAATAAGCTTTCGACCGTGTAGACCACATTATTTTACTTCAGAAGCTACAGGCTCTTGGCATTCGTGGCGACTTGCATAGATGGTTTTGTTCCTATGTGGCAAAACGAAGGCAAGCGGTTGTTCTGGGTGGTGCATGCAGTGATTTCGTTTCTACAAGCTCTGGCGTCCCTCAAGGTTCAATACTGGGTCCACTGCTATACAATGTATATGTTTATGATATTTATACATCTATAAAGCGATCCCGATTTCTTATGTTTGCAGATGACACCAAAATCTTTTTAAGGATAAAACCTCTTTCGGATTGCCTATTAGTTCAACGTGACCTCGATACTTTTGCAAAATATTGTGATAATAACAGAATTAAAATTAATATATTAAAGTGCGCTCACATAACCTATTCTCGTAAAATAAATAATTATAATTATGCATACAACATTAATAATATTGAAATTCATAAAACCAATTCTATACGCGATCTTGGAATTCAGTTAGACTCAAAATTGTCAATGAATGAGCACATACAAATTGTAACTGATAAAGCTTATAGACAATTGGGATATATAAAACGTGTATGTCAGTCTTTCTCTAGTGTTGAATGTATTAAAATATTATACTTTGCATATGTTCGCAGCTTATTGGAATACGCATGCACAATTTAGTCACCGCAGTACACAATTTATAAAGACAGACTTGAAAGCATTCAAAAAAAATTTATGAAATTTCTTAGCTACAAAGACCATAAGTTATTTGATAGCTATACTGATGCTTGCCGTCAATATCACATGCACTCGTTAGAGACCCGTCGCAAGCACTATGATATGATGATGCTTCATTCACTTCTGTCAAATGAAATAGACTGCAACGAACTGTTATCATTGGTACAATTCCGAGTACCAAATCGACGTACTCGTCTGACAAAATTATTTGACACACCGTCGATGAGCACAAAATACGGAAGCAACTGCTTATTAATTCGTTTAGCCACTACCTATAACGACTCGTTTTCTAACTTAGACATATTCAATATGAAGAAATCAGAATTTAAAAAGGCTTTAAAAAAAAACAAGTGACATCTTAATTTACTATTAAAACACATAAATGCATACACACGACACGCTCACACCCACACACACTCACACTTACATATTCGCTCACACACAATGAACAGTCTTGCTAATTAGATTAGTTATTCATTATTAATTGTATTTAAGTTACGTTTATGTTTATATTTTTACTTTAACTGTGTAATCCTGTATTGGTCTTAATATTGTTTAATTATACTTTATCATGTCATTATTATAAGCACTGTTGGATTACCGAAATAAATAAATAAAATAAATAAAATGTACACATAACAGGTTAAATAAGTTTATAATGATTAATTTTATATACTTCATCCATTTTTTTCTATCTAACACACAATAACCAAATTAAATTCATGCATCTCTATCGATCCACCCATCAATCCATGCATGATAGATGCATGGAATTATACTATTATCATTATTATTGAATTCAGATTAAGCCTTAAAAGTACATGATTTCATTTAAAGAAAATGTAAATAGGTATGTAATGTGTACATAACTTCAACAAACATGTGAGTTCGACTTTCGAGTTCTGACTTTTGACATATTATGTTATAAATTGATGTCTACAACTTTAAAGACTAGAATGACATCTAATGATATGAAAAAGTAAAAAAAAGAAACTGAAGATCTTTTGTGTTCAAAAACTTACTTTCAAATAATAACGTCTTTTAAAGAAATGTTATATTTTTAAGATGCAATAATTCAGAACAATTATTCAATATATTTTATACACGATACAGTTCAGAAGCTTTTGAAACAACGGAAGTACTTGGGTAATTAATATATTATATATAATAGTGTAATAGATGTTTCCGCAAAAGTATTGAAATCGTTTATCTTTTTTTAGGTATATTATGCAGAAATTTCTTTTTTAATATCGTAAGTCCAATACATATTGTGTTTTTGCGTTCCTACTAAATATTTAAATATTATCTTTCAATTAATACGTGTATATAAAGAAATATTTTTTAAGGTTTCTTTTATTCTCCAGTAAATATTATTTTGGGGTGACTTTAGTGTTTATCTGATAATTTAGGTACCTATTGAGTAGGTGAAACGTCAAATGTCAATGTTTGAAAATGTGAGCAAAAGTTGCGGTTCGCTTACTTTATATAACCATATAAAATAGTTACATTTCTAAATACAAATTTTAGTTTTGTGTATTATAAACAATTGTATTTCTTTAGTAATAACTAAGTTTTGGGTTGAAATGGTTGATGAAGAACGACTCCAGCGAATAAAAGGTTTGTTTACAAAATTCAAGTTCATTATTTAATAGTATTACTCAAAATAATAATACTATTTAATTTCTTTTTTAGCCGGTGCATTCCTGGCTTCGGTTGCTGGATTATCAGCATTTATTGGTTTTAGTGCAACTTTATCAGTTGCCAAGAAATCTGACCCCAAATATTTTAATAAAGGTACATTTAACTTCATACCAACTTAATAATCATTTATACCTATTTGACGATTAAAATTTTAGTGGTTTTTGTATTCCTCAATTTTAATAAAGTACTAATAGCTCTACACTCTTTATATTTTATTGATATATACTTATTTTTCAAGGGTTACATAGTTCTGCTGAATTAGCAGATGCCGGTGCAATACTAGCATTACGAGCTCTAGGCTGGGGTACTCTTTATGCAATAGGTGGTACAACATGTTTGTGTTATGGTATATGGAAATTGTCAGGCGCTAAAGATGTAAGTTACCTTAATAATTCAATGGCAATAATTACTACACAATATAATAATAATAATGGTTTTTTTTCTTTCAGCTAAAAGATTTCAGAATGAAGATGGGAAATTTATTGCCTGTTTTACCAAAAAACAATCCTCCCCAATCAAGAACTGAATTTAGTGGAATGAATGATTTATTGACATATATATCAGAAGAATATGGAAAAAAATAGAATAAGATAGATTTATTATGTTTTATTATATTATTGTAAATATTTATAGTTATTTATGTAAATGCTTAAGTTGTTAAGTCCTGTTTGATTAAAAATTCCTCTTTATATGCTGGGCCTTCATTACAACTTTCTTTACAAGTATAAACAGCTAGCACACCCCAGTCGATACTATTGAATTCAATTTCAACATTTATGAAGTTCAGTACTTGTGGCATTATCTAGAAACAAAAACATAAACATATTATATGAGTGTAGAAAAATATTTTTCTGCTTCTGTAATAAAAGAAACTTACTTGGAACTCAAAATGCCTTTCTCCATTACAATATTTACAGTTAGGTATAGGGCTGTTTCCAGTATTTGTGGTAATCCACAATGGTATTCCACCTCTGTCATACCTCAATACTTGATCGGGATGCCGAGCTATTCTTTTGCTAAATTTATTAAAAACCTTATCCTCCGGCATACTACCCGTATATTGTTCTAATTCTTTTTCACTTAAATTCTCCATTGTACCAGCTTTTTTCTCTGCTATCATCTTTCTTAGTTTTTCCATCTCTTGATTTGTATCAACAGTTGTGGGATCTTCCTGCAAATAATTATATAAACAACAATATAATTAATGTCAGTTAATTTCATTAAGAAGATATATATAAATAAATGTATACCTCATCTTCTTCATCAACCATGAGTTCCCATTCTTTAAAAAGTAAAGATTTTGCTCCTTCAGTAACAACAAAGTTACTATTAGGTGGATCTGTTTGCTAAAACAAAATCCAGAGTGTAAGAACAACATAAATGATAAAATTCTTCTTTATAGTAGAGGACTAATATCCTATAAAATCTACATACCTGTAAATTTGGACAATCTATTTTGTGATTTTTCCAATCTAGTATTTGATGTTGACGACAGCAATAATAGACTTTTTTGCATTTTGAGCAGTGTGATGGTGCTTTTACACCACAAATGTAACATAATTTCGGCCATTTGTCCATAGGGAAAATCTTTAAAATATAAATATTCAAAAATTACTTTAATTACCTTATTTCACAGTAACTTTTCATTCAACTAAACTAAAATGCTAAATATTTAATAAAGCAATTAATTTAATAAACATTGAATATGTAATGTAGTCTTTGATATATTGTTATTATAAACTTACTTAAAAAATAAGTTACTCTAATACTATTTCAGATTTTACTAAAAACTAATATATGTTATTTCAATCATGCTACCACAATTGACTTAATAAACCAATTTGTATGTGAAATTGTTATATATCATTTTATTGCCATAAATAAGAAAAAAAAATTCAAATTCCCACCTCATCTACATCTGCTTCATTTGGTCCAAATGAATAGTAATCATTTTTTCGAGGTATTTGACATCTTAACACCAGAAAGTTATCAGAATCATTTGCTTGGCAACATGAACCCTTTTTGCAAATAAATATAAAAATGGTGCGATGAAAGCATTCATCCTTCTCTTCATAAGGGCTGTATACCTGGATAAGGTAAATAACTTTAAATAGAGTATAAAAAATGGAAATAGTAAACATTAGTTTTAATGATACATACTTGACATAAAAATATTAAAGGATCATTGCATCTTTTACACGTTAATTCTGATGGATTAGGGAGGTTTTTTAAATCTAACCAAGCAGGTTTTCCACCAACTTTACTTGGAAAGAATCTTGGATGCAATAACCAATTTGATTTTTCCTCTAAAAATCCAATATCTATTGCTTTATTGGTCATTTTTATCTGGCTAACAATATGAAAGTTATGACGTAAAATTACCACAAATAAGAAAATATTTTCATCAAGACATAAATGTTACGTTTCTATAATTTGAAATCACCATGTGAAATACCTAGGTAGGTACTTACTGGGACATGCCAGAGGAAACTGTCAAATTTACATCAAAATGACAACTTTAGTTGAATGTATTTGTTCGAGCATTGGGTTCTTACTTTTCAACAGTAACTCATTAACAATATGCAAAGAGAAAAAACAGGGTATTATATCTCTATAAAAGTTATTAATACTTAAATTATGTATATAATATTTTTCATTGTAAAAAACTTAGAGAAACATAATAACCATTAAAAAAAGGTGAATATGCCAATATTTATAAGACCGTTTTTGATTATGGAACTAAACATTATATTTTTCATAACTTTTTTACTGCTTAAAAGTAAAAAGAGTCTTAATAAGAAACATTTTTCTAAAGGCTAAAGTGAAACTATATCAATACATAAATCAATTTACACTTCGGTGAGCTGCTTGTAAAATTTGCAACTTAAGTATTTTTTTGGATTGAAAAGTTTTTATAAAACTTGTATTCGCGACATTCGGACATCTTGGTTGATATTTAGCTTATATCAAATCAGGAGTGCAGAAGTCGGTGTTCTTCGAATGCCTGGTAAACTATAACCCCAGAGGCATTATGTGAATTTTAGACATAAACGTTTTTTGTTAACTTAAAATAACGAAGACTTAATATGATAAGTGCTACTATCATCTATACTAATATTATAAAGCTGAAGAGTTTGTTTGTTTGAAAGCGCTAATCTCCGAAACTACTGGTTCGAATTGAATAATTCTTTTTGTGTTGGATAGTCCAGTTATCGAGGAAGGCTGTAGGCTATATAAAATCACGCTACGACCAATAGGAACAAAGATATAGTGGTAAATGTGTAAAAAACTGGAGAAATTATTTCATCTTTGAAGCCTTCCTTTGCGTGCGCCGTGAAAACGGTTCAACATACACAAAAAATATGTATTAAAAAATAATAGCTCTTTTAATGATCTAAAAAACAGTCCGCTATAGAATATGTCTATCTTTTAAGATTAACTCACAAAAACCGTTTTTATAGTACCTAATTTGGTCGAAATAATTTGTTTAAGTTGTATCAACATAATAATATTAATCTTTATTCCAATAAACAAATAAATATATCGTTGGTTAAAAGTACTTCATAGTGAATAAAAAAAAAAGGTTTTATCCTGAAAATTCTACGGGAACTCGACCATTCCGAAAACCCAGCAAGAACGGGAACTATGGGGGAAGAACCAAAAATCTGCCGGAAGTCACTATTCCACGCGAACGTAGTCGCGGCAAAAGCTAGTTTCAATATAAGTCACAAAATAGCCCATAAAAAAGGTGATACTGCGTAAATCGTAGAGCATTTCACACTGGAACACTTGATTTTCTGTACAGAACGATGGTTTTATTTTACCTCTGGTTTTCTCCGTTCTGAAGCACGGCATCAGAACTGCAGAACAACCTTTTTATATTTCACTTCATACAAACGTTCATTTTCCTTTCAATTTCAGTGACTTAAGTCTTTAATAAGTGACTTACGTATTTAAATTAATTTACTTAAGTTTTAAAATTGTCTTAAGTGTATTTTAACATTTTAACTTTAAATAATGAAAGAACGGTCTTATTACGATTAATAAAATTTCTTTAACCACTTTCTCTTAGATATAACCTGGTCGGATTTCATTGCATAAAAGTAAATACTAATGTGGAAGTCGTCCTTGTTTCTTAACTCCGACGCTTATAAAAAAGGGGGTGAAATAGTTTTACGTCGATATTTGTGGGAGTCTCTGGCATCGTAGCCCTAAAACGAATCGCTCTATTCCAATACGATTTTTTGAAGTAAAAAATCTTTACGCACGCACGCGGGGTAAGGTGATAAAAGCGTTACGAAAAGTGTGATTGGGGGAGGCGAATGAAAGTGAGAGGGAGATATGTTAGTAAAGATAGTGTTACGGTTCTTAGATCATCATCATTCATCATCATTATCATAATGGATGGATGAATGCATGCCTCCATATGCGGATGGATGCAGGGATCATCATAATGGATTTATGGATGTATGCATGGATCATAAAATGATAGGGCTACGATGCCAGAGACTCCCACAAATATCGATGTAAAACTATTTCACCCCCTTTTTTATAAGCGTCGGAGTTAAGAAACAAGGACGACTTCCACATTAGTATTTACTTTTATGCAATGAAATCCGACCAGGTTATATCTAAGAGAAAGTGGTTAAAGAAATTTTATTAATCGTAATAAGACCGTTCTTTCATTATTTAAAGTTAAAATGTTAAAATACACTTAAGACAATTTTAAAACTTAAGTAAATTAATTTAAATACGTAAGTCACTTATTAAAGACTTAAGTCACTGAAATTGAAAGGAAAATGAACGTTTGTATGAAGTGAAATATAAAAAGGTTGTTCTGCAGTTCTGATGCCGTGCTTCAGAACGGAGAAAACCAGAGGTAAAATAAAACCATCGTTCTGTACAGAAAATCAAGTGTTCCAGTGTGAAATGCTCTACGATTTACGCAGTATCACCTTTTTTATGGGCTATTTTGTGACTTATATTGAAACTAGCTTTTGCCGCGACTACGTTCGCGTGGAATAGTGACTTCCGGCAGATTTTTGGTTCTTCCTCCATAGTTCCCGTTCTTGCTGGGTTTTCGGAATGGTCGAGTTCCCGTAGAATTTTCAGGATAAAACCTTTTTTTTTATTCACTATGAAGTACTTTTAACCAACGATATATTTATTTGTTTATTGGAATAAAGATTAATATTATTATGTTGATACAACTTAAACAAATTATTTCGACCAAATTAGGTACTATAAAAACGGTTTTTGTGAGTTAATCTTAAAAGATAGACATATTCTATAGCGGACTGTTTTTTAGATCATTAAAAGAGCTATTATTTTTTAATACATATTTTTTGTGTATGTTGAACCGTTTTCACGGCGCACGCAAAGGAAGGCTTCAAAGATGAAATAATTTCTCCAGTTTTTTACACATTTACCACTATATCTTTGTTCCTATTGGTCGTAGCGTGATTTTATATAGCCTACAGCCTTCCTCGATAACTGGACTATCCAACACAAAAAGAATTATTCAATTCGAACCAGTAGTTTCGGAGATTAGCGCTTTCAAACAAACAAACTCTTCAGCTTTATAATATTAGTATAGATGATAGTAGCACTTATCATATTAAGTCTTCGTTATTTTAAGTTAACAAAAAAACGTTTATGTCTAAAATTCACATAATGCCTCTGGGGTTATAGTTTACCAGGCATTCGAAGAACACCGACTTCTGCACTCCTGATTTGATATAAGCTAAATATCAACCAAGATGTCCGAATGTCGCGAATACAAGTTTTATAAAAACTTTTCAATCCAAAAAAATACTTAAGTTGCAAATTTTACAAGCAGCTCACCGAAGTGTAAATTGATTTATGTATTGATATAGTTTCACTTTAGCCTTTAGAAAAATGTTTCTTATTAAGACTCTTTTTACTTTTAAGCAGTAAAAAAGTTATGAAAAATATAATGTTTAGTTCCATAATCAAAAACGGTCTTATAAATATTGGCATATTCACCTTTTTTTAATGGTTATTATGTTTCTCTAAGTTTTTTACAATGAAAAATATTATATACATAATTTAAGTATTAATAACTTTTATAGAGATATAATACCCTGTTTTTTCTCTTTGCATATTGTTAATGAGTTACTGTTGAAAAGTAAGAACCCAATGCTCGAACAAATACATTCAACTAAAGTTGTCATTTTGATGTAAATTTGACAGTTTCCTCTGGCATGTCCCAGTAAGTACCTACCTAGGTATTTCACATGGTGATTTCAAATTATAGAAACGTAACATTTATGTCTTGATGAAAATATTTTCTTATTTGTGGTAATTTTACGTCATAACTTTCATATTGTTAGCCAGATAAAAATGACCAATAAAGCAATAGATATTGGATTTTTAGAGGAAAAATCAAATTGGTTATTGCATCCAAGATTCTTTCCAAGTAAAGTTGGTGGAAAACCTGCTTGGTTAGATTTAAAAAACCTCCCTAATCCATCAGAATTAACGTGTAAAAGATGCAATGATCCTTTAATATTTTTATGTCAAGTATGTATCATTAAAACTAATGTTTACTATTTCCATTTTTTATACTCTATTTAAAGTTATTTACCTTATCCAGGTATACAGCCCTTATGAAGAGAAGGATGAATGCTTTCATCGCACCATTTTTATATTTATTTGCAAAAAGGGTTCATGTTGCCAAGCAAATGATTCTGATAACTTTCTGGTGTTAAGATGTCAAATACCTCGAAAAAATGATTACTATTCATTTGGACCAAATGAAGCAGATGTAGATGAGGTGGGAATTTGAATTTTTTTTTCTTATTTATGGCAATAAAATGATATATAACAATTTCACATACAAATTGGTTATTAAGTCAATTGTGGTAGCATGATTGAAATAACATATATTAGTTTTTAGTAAAATCTGAAATAGTATTAGAGTAACTTATTTTTTAAGTAAGTTTATAATAACAATATATCAAAGACTACATTACATATTCAATGTTTATTAAATTAATTGCTTTATTAAATATTTAGCATTTTAGTTTAGTTGAATGAAAAGTTACTGTGAAATAAGGTAATTAAAGTAATTTTTGAATATTTATATTTTAAAGATTTTCCCTATGGACAAATGGCCGAAATTATGTTACATTTGTGGTGTAAAAGCACCATCACACTGCTCAAAATGCAAAAAAGTCTATTATTGCTGTCGTCAACATCAAATACTAGATTGGAAAAATCACAAAATAGATTGTCCAAATTTACAGGTATGTAGATTTTATAGGATATTAGTCCTCTACTATAAAGAAGAATTTTATCATTTATGTTGTTCTTACACTCTGGATTTTGTTTTAGCAAACAGATCCACCTAATAGTAACTTTGTTGTTACTGAAGGAGCAAAATCTTTACTTTTTAAAGAATGGGAACTCATGGTTGATGAAGAAGATGAGGTATACATTTATTTATATATATCTTCTTAATGAAATTAACTGACATTAATTATATTGTTGTTTATATAATTATTTGCAGGAAGATCCCACAACTGTTGATACAAATCAAGAGATGGAAAAACTAAGAAAGATGATAGCAGAGAAAAAAGCTGGTACAATGGAGAATTTAAGTGAAAAAGAATTAGAACAATATACGGGTAGTATGCCGGAGGATAAGGTTTTTAATAAATTTAGCAAAAGAATAGCTCGGCATCCCGATCAAGTATTGAGGTATGACAGAGGTGGAATACCATTGTGGATTACCACAAATACTGGAAACAGCCCTATACCTAACTGTAAATATTGTAATGGAGAAAGGCATTTTGAGTTCCAAGTAAGTTTCTTTTATTAAAGAAGCAGAAAATTATTTTTCTACACTCATATAACGTTGTTATAATATGTTTATGTTTCTAGATAATGCCACAACTACTGAACTTCATAAATGTTGGAATTGAATTCAATAGTATTGACTGGGGTGTGCTAGCTGTTTATACTTGTAAAGAAAGTTGTAATGAAGGCCCAGCATATAAAGAGGAATTTTTAATCAAACAGGACTTAACAACTTAAGCATTTACATAAATACCGTAAAACGGGGTGAATAGCAATGATTTTCAACTTTGTCTTAAGAATTTGTTGTCTATTCCTTTTTCTTTAAACCACAGGTTATTTTAATATCATGTCCGGTATCACAAAGAAACAGCTAAAACAATATTTGGTTAACTATAAGCAAATGTTTTTCAGATTTTTAATAAAATATGTATCATTTCTATTCACCCGACGACTGGGGTCAATAGAAATGCATAAAGGGGTGAATGGAAAAACTGTTAGGGCTGCCAAAAATTACTTAACCAACATGCAAAAATGAAAGGTCGTGTATTTAAAAATTATTTTGGTATGTAAATGGTAAATGAAATTCAAAATTTGTGATTTAAACTATTTATGTGTTTTTGTTAACATAAATAATTAGGTATGTTTGTATTTTAAACGACTTTATTTTTACGGAATGTTATCTCTTTTCAATAAATTAAACAATGTATACTTCTTATTCGTATTTTATTTGAATTAAAGAAAATAACAAATTTAAAAACATTTTTCTGGATTAAAAGTCGCTTATACATAAAGTCGCTTATATATAAACAACTATCTTTTGAACTTAACAATTATTATATCAAAGGTATTACAAATAGGTAATCAACGTTATGACTTTGAAGAATCAGTATTATAACATAAAAGTAATAAACACTCTTAAAAAAAAAAAACAAATTCTAAATCTTCTGAACTTAGCAATTATCATAAAATATATCACAGGTAGTCGATGTCAGCCTTCATTATGGCTTTGTAAAATGCAGAAAGCACTACTCCGTAAAAATAATCAAAATTCTTTAAAAAAATAAAACTAAATTCTAAATCTTCTGAACTTAACAATAATTATCATAACAAAGTTGTTACAGGTAGATAACTTCAGTCTACGTTACGTTCTCACTAAATGTAAAAATAATAAAAAAAAACAATAAAATTTTAAATCGTTCCAACCATGTTCCAACTTAACAATTTACAAAGTTTTCACAGGTCATCATCATCCTCTTCTAAAACTTTTAATATTTCGTCACTATCATTATAGTAATTATTTGTGTGTTTTTTCTTTGGCAATTTAATGAGATCTTTTACCATTAGTACAGTCTTGCTCTTCTTTATAATTGGTAATTTGTATTTTTTGTTGTACTGGCCGTCATTCACTAGTTCATTTGGTATTATTTTTACTTTATTCTCCTTAATAGTATTATCATCAACAGTTGTTCCAGTACTGATTGTAACCTCTTCACATAAGCTGTCAAAAAAGAGAATGGCAGACTGTTTATGTCCATATCATTAGAAACTTTGCACTCTAATCCTTGTAAGTTACTATTGTAGTTTTCCATGTCCGCGATACTGTTGTAATTCTGCTCTCCCATATTATTATCATAATTTTTGTAAGCCGTAACGTTAACGTAATCGTAATCTTTCTGACTTGTATTTCCGCATTTTGATTGTTCTGAGTTGTTATGGTATACTTCTTTCCATTCTTTATTGTTATCATTATTGCCCTTGTCTTCTGTTTCAGATTTTTTAGTAATATCCTCGATAGCTTTTCCTTTAGTCTCATTGTTTTCTATATTTTTTTTGAAGATTACTTCTTCTTTTGTTTCCAAATAGGATGTTTTCGTTTTTTTTCCAATCCCTTTGCCTTTTCGTTTGTAAGGTTCTATTTTATTAGGGCAATTTTCTTTTTCTTCAATTGGTAATAGTTTCATGTTTGTAATTATAGATTTTTTAGCTTTTCCTTTATTTTTATTGTTTAAACCTGATGGACCACTGATGCTAGTATCGTATTTTGTTTTTTTAAGGATTTGCCATACTGTTATCAACATCAGTTTCTGCATAGTCTTCAATTTCTTCTGGAGCGACACTTTTACCTGGGAGTACATTGAGTTTTCTCTTTCTTTTTGGTTCTACAATGTTCATTGAACCATATCTCATTTCTTTGAGGAGTGTTAGAACAGAATCTTCTACAGCACTTTCATGGTCTTCACCTAAGTCCTCGCCGGGAAGTCTGGCTAATATTTCAGTTGCATTTAAAGGGCTAATTCCTGTTTTCTTAAATCCAGCAATGATATTCTTTGAAGCATTTATTTGCAGTTCATCAATTAATAATTTCAATAATTTTGGAAAGCAACCATTTGGAATTGTGGGTAATTGTCGACCATCTGTCTTTTTCCATTTTAATAATAATTGCCTCCAGGCTCGCTTCATTGGACGGAAAAATGACACGTCCAGAGGTTGCGTCAGGTGAGTTGAGTTGGCTGGTAAAAACACAAAATCGATGTTGTGCGCTTTACATGTTTGGATCAAGTCTGCTGATAAATGTGAAGACAAATTGTCTCCAATTAAGCACTTTCTACCTGGTAAATTCTTAAAATAAGGAACCACCATATTTTGTACCCAATCCTCAAAAGTGGTTCCATCAAACCATCCAGATGTCGACCTATTATATCGAGTACCCTCTGGGCCGTGTTGGATCCAAGAATCATATAAATGAGTTGCCTTGTATACCACATATGGTGGTAACATTTTACCATCTGCGGTACCAGCCATCATAATAGACACGGAAGCCTTGGTATGGTTCAGAACTCTTTTAGGGTACTTGCATCCCCGTTTGATTAGTATTTTTTTCCGCCCAGGGTCGTCCGTCAAATTTGTTTCGTCGTAATTTAAGATGTTAGAAGCAGGTACACCATTTAAAGACTTCTCAAGTTCTGTAAAATATTCTTTAATTGTATCTGGAGATACCTTAGCTCTCACACGCTTGATATTTTCACAAACTCTTTGGGAAATCTCATTTTTGTGTCTTAATAGGAAGCTCTGTACAAAATCTGGTCCTGGAAAATTGTCTTTAAATCTTTTATGAATTATACCTATCTTATCAAGATACATTTTTATTATGTACCTGAGATCCAAAGTATCTAAGGGATAACCCCATTCTGCGCATTTGTTTATATTTTCTATTAGAAACATATCAGTTTCATCGGATAGAGCTCTTTGGCCTCCATGTTGCTTCATATCCCGCGTACAATGACGATATAACACCGATTTGTGTATACCATATTTTTTTGCAACTTCTTCTAATTTTACATTTCGGGATGATGCATACTCTTCCACAGCTTTTTTTATGATCTCCATGTTATATTTTTTATAACTTTTTTTTGTAGGATCGGGTTTATATACACGCGGCATGTTGAATACGGCGGTATGTATCTGTAAATGAAAATAATCACGTTAAAAATATTATTTATTTATCAATCATTAAATTTACAGCTCCATACATTATTAGTAGTATTAAGTTCAATTAACAGTTTTTGACAACCCTATTCATTTATCTCTATTGACCCCTCATTAGTTGCTATTCAAACATTAGTCGTTTCTATTATTCCCTACTAGGTTTCCATTAAACCCATACTAGAGTTCTATTCACCCTTCAATAGATTCTATTGACCCCTTTTATACAATAAATTTACACATACTGTGATTTTAACAATTTTTTGAAGTTTAATAACGGATTCCCCCTATCTTCACTGTATTTCTATAATTTATCGTACACCTTATGAGATAAACACATTAAACAGCACAAATCACAACTTTTTCAGACCTAAAATCAAGAGTTTCGGCAGTTGAATAAAACACGTTCACAGATGGTCGACTTTGAATTTAATTTGAAGGATAAATGTCAATTTTGACAATTAAAAATTGTTGCCAACACAAAGAAAAAATGTTGCTGTATTAAAACTTAAAATTCTACTAAAATTCTTCAACGAAAACTACTGAAATAATAACATTAAAAACTTTCCTGATTTTTTTTCTATTCACCCCGCAATTTCTATACACCCCGTTTTACGGTAACTATAAATATTTACAATAATATAATAAAACATAGTAAATCTATCTTATTCTATTTTTTTCCATATTCTTCTGATATATATGTCAATAAATCATTCATTCCACTAAATTCAGTTCTTGATTGAGGTGGATTGTTTTTTGGTAAAACAGGCAATAAATTTCCCATCTTCATTCTAAAATCTTTTAGCTGAAATAAAAAAATCATCAATGTTATTATGTATTATAGTAATTATTGCCATTGAATTATTATGGTAACTTACATCTTTAGCGCCAGACAATTTCCATATACCATAACACAAACATGTTGTACCACCTATTGCATAAAGAGTACCCCAGCCAAGAGCTCGTAATGCTAGTATTGCTCCGGCATCTGCTAATTCAGCAGAACTATGTAACCCTTGAAAAATAAGTATATATCAATGAAATATAACGAGTGTCGAGCTGCTAGTAATCATTAAAATTAAGGAAAACAGAAACCACTAAAATTTTAATCGTCAAATTGGTTTAAATAATTATTAAATGGGTATGAAGTTAATAGTACCTTTATTAAAATATTTGGGGTCAGATTTCTTAGCAACTGATAAAGTTGCACTAAAACCGATAAATGCTGATAATCCAGCAACCGAAGCCAGGAATGCACCAGCTAAAAAGAAACAAAATATTATTATTATGTTATGTTTATAGCATCAACTTAAATTTTGTAAACAAACCTTTTATTCGCTGGAGTCGTTCTTCATCCACCATTTCAACCCAAATTTTATTTATGAGTTAAGAAATGCAACTGTTTATAATACAAAAAACTAATATTTGTATTTAGAAATGTAACTAGGTATCTTATATGGTTATATAAAGTAAGCAGACCGCAACTTTTGCTCACATTTTCAACCCTTGACATTTGACGTTTCACCTACTCAATAGGTACCTAAATTAACAGATAAATACTAAAGTCACCCCAAAATAATATTTACTGGAGAATAAAAGAAACCTTAAAAAATATTTCTTTACATACACGTATTTATTGAAAGATAATAATAAATATTTAGTAGGAACACAAAAACACAATATGTATTGGACTTACGATATTAAAAAAGAAATTTCTGCATTATATACCTAAAAAAGATATAAGATTTCAATACTTTTGCGGAAGCATCTATTACACTATTATGTATGATATATTAATTACCTAAGTACTTCCGTTGTTTCAAAAGCTTCTGAACTGTATCGTGTATAAAATATATTGAATAATTGTATATTAATTGTATATCTGAATTATTGCAACTAATAAATATAACATTTCTTTAAAAGATGTCATTATTTGAAAGTAAGTTTTTGAACACAAAAGATCTTCAGTTTCTTTTTTTTACTTTTTCATATCATTAGATGTCATTCTAGTCTTTAAAGTTGTAGACATCAATTTATAACATAATATGTCAAAAGTCAGAAGTCAGAACTCGAAAGTCGAAATCGAATTCACATGTTTGTTGAAGTTATGTACACATTACATATTTACATTTCCTTTAAATGAAATCATGTACTTTTAATCTGAAATCAATAATAATGATAATAGTATCTTAAGATGAGGACAAATGTTATTGAATTATTTGAGGATGCGAAACGTAGAGATACCTATTTGAAAATATGTGCTCCTATGGTTAGATACAGTAAAGTTCAATTTAGGACATTAGTCAAAAAGTGAGTTGATTTGATATTCTATCAGTTTAGATTAATTTCATGTTATTCTTTGAAAATTCGAGTAATGTATTGTATTTTTTATTTCATTTTTCAGTTACGGGGTCGACTTGTGCTTTACACCCATGATATTAGCTGATTCATTTTGCCAGAACGAGAAAGCCAGGTCAAATGAATTCATAACGACTACAAATGATACTCCTTTAATTGTGCAGTTTGCCGCTAATAATGTGGATGATTTTTTAGATGCATCTCAATTAGTTTACCCATATGCTGATGGTGTTGACTTAAATTGTGGTTGTCCGCAGAGATGGGCCATGAAGGACGGCTATGGATGTGCTTTGCTATCTAAACCAGAGTTAGTTCATGACTTATTAAGAAGTGTGAGAAATAATTTGCCAAGCCATTTCAGTGTGTCGGTCAAAGTAAGAATATTTCAGGATTTAAAAAAAACGATCACCATGTGTCAGCAGTTGGAGCAGTGTGGTGTTAATTTCATGACAGTACACGGAAGGACTCCACTACAGAAAAGTGGAGATAATATTGATGTTGAAATGTTGAAGGAGATTTGTGATTTGGTTAAAATACCAGTTGTTGCGAATGGTGGTATAAAATCATTATATGATGCAGAACAGTTATACAACACATTGAATTGTGATGGAATTATGGTAGCTGACGGTATTCTAAATAATCCAGCATTATTTACAGGGGCCAATAAAACCCCTCTGTACTGTGTGAAACATTGGATGAACTTAAAAGACTTGAGCGGTGACAAGATAACATTCCAATGTTACCATCATCATTTAGTTTTTATGCTCGGAAAAATACTCGCAAAGAAACAGAAGCAAGAATTTAACAATCTCAGTGACTTTGATGAGGTTGATGCCTACATAAAAAAATATGTTTTAGATTCATTTGATGGAGATGTAGAAGTTATTCATGAATTAGAAAATTTTGTTGATTGTGAATTTAATAGTAAAATTACATCTAAACATGCTCATAAATGTAGGGGATGCGGCAAAAGCATTTGTTACTGTATATGTATGCAATATAATTATGATTCTAATAAGGGAAATTACTTTAAATCATTTGTAACTAATAATGATGGTATTGATTTTATGGACAGTAATATGTTTGATGAATGTAACTTATAGTTGTATTTTACATTGTTATATATTATGTGATACTCTACATACATATCATCAATGAGATAATAAAAAGATATTTATGTTTTATAATTCTGTGTTTTCTTTGTATTAAAACTTGGGTGAGTTTAAAATTGTGAATAGGCTGATTCTGAGATAGTGCATTTACCACCTATAACTTTATTTCTACATTTCAATGGATGTAATAATAGTCAAGCAATATCCAGTTGAATAAAGAAAGTAATATTTAATTCTGTGGAAATAAAATTGTTAATCAATGTTTGTGAAATATTTACTTCTTAAACTTAGGTATGTTCTTTCCTACATCTTCTGAACCGTTAATGGTTTAGGGCTTGACATATTAATAATAAATGGAATCTTAATTTCCAAAAAATATTATATATATATACAGGGTGACTGGTGAATTACTATCGATATTTGAGGACGTGATATTTGACGATCATATATGACAAAATAAAAATTAATATAACATAAATATTAATAAACTTCTAAGTAAAGTTAACCAAAAGTTATGTAATTAATTACGCATCGTGTGAACACCCTACAGAATAGGTATACACTGACACTCACACATACGCGTGTCGTGACGTGGTGTTGTGTCAGCACGCCGCCGTACGCGTCCACACTTGAACACTTGGAACGTGTCAAGACTTTATTTATTTATACGGAAATTTTGTCAAAAATTAAGTGCCTATTTTTTTTTACATAATTCGAATGAGAATCATGTACCGAGTATTCTCCTTAAATATTGATAGTAATTCACCAGTCACCCTGTATATGTATTTGGAAAATGTTCATTTTAATTACCGACAACCATCCACGTGTTGCCAGTATGATAGATTTATCTATTTATGGCCATTAGTCTTTTCTAAAACAAAGAAAATTGTTTAATCCATCATGAAAAATGTTTCAGATTATGTTAATGAGAGAAACCGGCTTGCGTTTGTATTCTTGTAAAATATATACATACTTAATTATACTTTAGGTAATGGCTAATGCGTAACTAAAATATAGTAATGCAAACGCTTTTCTCTATATCTAATATTTATTTTTTAATATACTTTTCGTTTTCAAACAATTACCACCTTTTTCTGTTGGAAATCATAATATTATTTTAATTACTTATAAATCAAGAAAGCGTGGGAGAATTAAGCTACAAATACATGACGCCACGATTGCGACATGTCGTAAGCCGCCTACATACCTAAGTATGTACCTACCTCATAAAGTTCATTCGTGAACATATCTGTATCTGTATTTTTTAAAATATTGTTTCAGATTTTTGTTACATAATATAACATTCAATAATATTATTCTTAATAAAATTGTATCTAAATCATACGAGTAGCGCAAAGTACATTGTAGGTACGATTACTTTAGGTTTGGTATCACTTTAAACTTTTTCACGAATGTATCGAATGTCGTATTACAGCGCGATGAGTAGGAGTAAAGTTAATGGTGTGCGGTTGAGTTCCGCTCACCTCGTAACAGTGTATTATATTCGCATTTGATAAGAATTTCGTTTGTTCTTTCGTCCATTCGTTAAATCAAAAATGCAATAATTGTATGTTTTGTTAGTGAATGGAATTACTTTTTTATTAGTTTTTAAAATCGATAAATATGACAAATGTGTTAATAGATTTATTCATATGTTAGTCATATTTAAATGCGCTGGTTATATGAAAAAATATTTTAATATCTTGTACACAATTATCATAACCAATATGCAATTTAATAAATAATTTTCTTAAACCGAAAAAAAGTTCCTGTTGCATTGTTTTTTTCATAAAACTAAACCGTAATATTTATATACCTAAGGAAACCAATGTTAGTTTTTCTTCAAATAATTATGAACAGTGCCCTTCTATATGGTTTAGGTAAAATATAGTTCGATAAAAAAAATCTTGAAAAGTATCACAGTAAACGCAAGAATTTTTTAATCCTTACCTATATAATACATACACATTTGTAAGTATAGTTATCTAAGCACAGCAGCTTAACCAATTCGCTTCGGTCGTTATTAGGTTGAAAAAAAAAAAATGATTAGAAGGATATACGAGACAAATTTTAAGTATTAAACTCTCAGTAGGTATCACTAGCTAGGACGCATTTGTATGCACTTTATATTAGTGTTTAGTCTACGTGACATTATAATTGCAAAACTAAATATATAACTCACTTTAAAATTTCAACTGAAATTAAAGGTTACTTAAAAACGTTGGGTAAATCAAAAAACGTAACTGCTAGTGTTATTGTGACTGCGTTCAAACGTTCAAAGACCTTTGCATTGGATGTTTCCTGTTAATTAAATTTTTCAACGTTAATTTCTAAAATATAACGTAGCTATATACCGTAACCGGTTAGATAATTAATGTAAATTCTACGAAATCTTTTGTATTTATAGTCGTTCAGGCCTCAAGTGCCTTGATATTATTATTAGTGACGTCAATACCGAATTTAAATAAAAAAATTGTCTTGTGTATGTTACCATACATAACATTTCACTTAAATATATCTTAGATGGTAAGTACTTCAACGTAGAAAGTTTAAAAACCTTATTATGTTTGTATTTAATTACCCTTATTCCGAAAATTAACACTTATGGCAGCTTTAATGTACAATTATTGTCAACCATCGCAAAATTTTATGTCTCAGTTAAATATGAATTATTTTCGTTATTAAAATAATATACATATATCATATATGTATGCCATGAATTAAATTATAAAATGAATTTATAACTTATCCATCTACTATTTTAAAATCGAATAATAAGTTCCCAAAAGGCATTTAATTTGAGAAGAATTTGGTTTTAAATTAAGAAGTTTTCAGTAGAGACCACGAATTAAAAATCTAAAGTTGTTCACAAGTTTATTTTACTTACTTTCGAATAGTTACATTGTGAAATTTACATAATCTGTGTTGAGTCGAATTGTGGATTGTTGAAGCATTAGGTCAAGCGTTCATCAAAATAGATATATCAAGTATAATTATGACATTTGTGTGAATGTAAAAGCGACAATAAAGGTAAATTAGAAGCTTGTATTAACGTGTAGACCGTTACGAATCAAGAAGAGAGGTGAACTCTCTATCACTAGTTCCTCGCCGCATTTGGTAGTGCCGCTTCAGACGTACACGACTTGTTGGGACATTGTTGTTATATAGTGAATATAATATTTGGATTTTTTGATTTACATATATTAATCGTAAGTAAAAAATATTACAAAAAAATTAATTGACATAATTTTAATTTTTTTTCTTATGTTCTGCTAAAAAGAGACCAAGTCATTTATTGTTAAAAAACAGGTGCACAAAAAATCTCGTAAATAATTGTATTTAAAAATAAGTAGTTTTCTTTTTTTTTATGATTAAAAATTTAGCGGAAAAAAGTTATATTTGAAATGAAACTGTAACAATTTATAAGATACGTTTCTAAATCTAAAAATATTTTTTCTTTCATATTTCAAAATAATATAACCTTATAACTTGCTAAAAGAGTTGCTACATATTTACTTAAACTGTATCATTTCGTTAAACTAGTTTTAAGGTCACTGAATTAGATTTCTAGCTACGAAAAAGTCTCAAGTCTTGCTCAAATATAATTTAAGACTTAATCAATAATAAAAGGAACATTCAACAATGAAGCGTTGACGTAATTAAGGCGATGAATTAACGCTTTTGTGCATTGAATTCATCGAACTTTTTATTTGATCAGTTTTAATTTGATAGTTTCGTACAACGTCTATCAATACTTCAACACTTCAAAATAACGCAGACACAATTTCAGAACCGCAATCTGTAATATTTAATAATATGTATCTTGATGTCTTAATGAATTCTTATTCCTTTTGATTTGTTTAGTTTTTTATGTAGTTGATACTTGATAAGATGTATTTGCTTATTGACTTTCACGTTGGTGCTATTCAAAATGTGAGAGCCCGTTTTTCACTGTTTTTTTAAGTTCAGACGTGTGTGCGTTGTCGTCTATTTGCTCAAAGTTGAAGAATATTAAAAGTGTGCCACAAGCACAGTTCGTCGTTCGTCTAGTCTCAATATTTACCGAATTACTGTTGCGGCTCCTCTATATTATTGACAGGAAACTGTTTATTCAATTTCTGGTTATAAAGTAGTTAACGGTATCAACACTTATCAAATATAGTAAATAGTCTAACCTTTCTGTTCACAGTTATTTAAGGTCAATTTTTCTGTAAATTTTCTTTATAAACGTTGTATTAAATCTTACAGTGGTGCTTAATAGGCTTTAGCTTTAATGATTAGAACATTTCATTTTCAGGAATGTGTCGACTGATTTTAAAACTATCCCCAAACCCTTAATATATCGTAAATAACTGCTAACCAACACTCTATTACGTTTTATCTATATCAAAACACTATAGTGTAATGTACAATTAATTTAAATAAAATAAATTATTCTTCTCGCTCTACTCTCGTTTTGACGCTAGAAAGTAACAAAACTTTAAATTAGGTTAAACCGTTTAAAGTAATAAAAATGTCGAAATCTAAAACTATAGTAAAATATAAGACCATTATATATATAAATAATGATGCAACTAAAAATGTTTACTTATTAATTTTAATGATTCGTTTGATTCTGTCATTTTTAATTAATGGTACGTTCTAAATTGTTGACAGATGTGTGAATGGCTCTCGTGTGAAGAATGGTGCGATGTGTTTTTATTGTGCGGTGGTCGGGTATTCAGTGCTCATCGAGCAGTACTGGCAAGCGTTAGCAAGTTTCTTAGGGTGAGTTCATACTAAAAGTAAAGGTTTTATCATGAAAATAGCATAAATAAACAAATATAGATGACACGACTAATGCTAATATCCTGATATTTTAATCATTATCACGTTTATTGTATGGAATGCTTTATTTTTACAGAAAATCCTTCTTTCATGTCCAGTAGAAGATTCACCAACGTTTATTGTTATGCCGGAATTCGATTTTGATACTATGTCTTGCGTTCTTCATTATATATACAACGGTGAAGTAGCCATCAGCAAACACCAAGTACATACATTTTTGGATATCATGAACGCTTTACAAGTTTTCGTTGACACGAGAGATTTAAAGAAACATTTAAAAATTAATAATTATATTTTTGTTGAGGATGATTATACTTTTAAAAAAGAAAATATAACCGGCAACGATAATATCACTTTAAAGAAACAAATTCAGAAAAAATCCAATGTAAGGCGACGGTTTGATAAAGTAAATTTAGACCGAAGTAATGTAGATTCAAATTTTTATAATACCAAAGGAATCCGGCTCGGATATCTGAAATCTCTCAAAGACCGACAAAGCCAGCCATTTTCTCGTGATTTATTTATTGAGACATATAGTCTGAACCGTAATGGTAACGGTGTTACAGAGGGCGTGCTCGCAATATCAAATGAACGCTATCGTGAACCAGGATCGCTTCTCGAGAAGAATTCTAATACTGAACATCACAGGGAAGTGGCCACGGAAACAACTTATGATCTAGGTTCTAGGGATAATTTTAACATTTTATGTAATACAAAACGTTTTGAAATTACAAGTAAGAAAAATATTGAGAGTTTTGTTGGTGTATACTTAGAAAACAGAACTAATGTGGAAGTTAAGAAGATTCCTGAAATGAATTCCCTTAGCGATAACCAAGGCGAAGCTATATCAAGAAAAACTGTAGATCAAGATTATAATTCAATAAATTGTAATATTATTTCTAGGCATAGTTTAAATTTAAATACAAAAAATATGCAAAACGCGATGTCCAGGGTGTCGGAAGTAAATAGTGAATTTAATAAAAGCAAAGAAGCTCTTAGTAGGGTGACCATACTTAACGAGGTATTACAGAGCCCTTGGAGACCTAGACTGTCGCTCACTTTCACTCCTTATGCTAAGAAATGTATGGACTGGAAGATAGATAAAGATAAAAGCTTACAGGTGAGCTAATAACAAACTAACAATAAAAGTAGTAAGTATATATCATTCAGCACATATTAGAGAAGATTTATTTTATATATTTTTGTCTCTTTCTTCATATTATTTTTTCTGTTTTTTATAATCTACCTTTGGCCCTTAATTTTTTATTCCATTGAAATTATAAATCTATTATTTTATCCTTCATTGAACAAAAAACAATTAAGAGAAGTGATTTATATAGCATAAAAAAATACCAAATTACAATTACAAATTCGTAGAAACTGCCAAATGGCTATTTCTTCCAGACCATATACTCGTAGTTGGGAGAATATATGTAGAATGAGTTGTTGTACATTTTCATTTACATCGTATAAATATGTATATATTAAAGGCATCTCAGTTTCAATCTTTATAAAATGTTAAGTACCATACAAAGTTTACGTTTCTATAAGAGCCTGCTTGAGACCATGGTCTTTGATGAGTGATGAAATAAGAATTTAATATTTTTATTTAGTTAAAATTCGCATTTAATAATTGTAAGAAAATTTAAAATCTGTCGCATATTATTATTAAAATTAATTCATTTATTTGTATTATTCAGTCAAAACAGAATGGAGTTTCGATTAATGATAAAAACAACAATAATAATGAAGCTACCAAGACTGAGAACAATGATAATGAGGCCACGAGCAATATAAAAGAAATGAAACAGAGTGTTTCAAAAGACGTAAGTTTATTTTTTGTATTAAAATGTACTTAATTTCGAATAGAATGCAAGCTATTACTATGTAGCACCAAAAATATAGTGTCGTCACTCCGCTCACCATGATGATGATGGTACCATTCACCATAATTAATTTAATATTATTCCTGTTCAGAATTCTTTATGGTCGTTTTAAATTAATTCTACAATTCAATTTCATATTGATTTTTAGTTGCTACATGTATGTATGGATTGAGTTTTAAAATCGACTATTATTATTTTCATAGAACTTCTTTGAATAACTATAAAATAAATTAAACTAAGTTTTTTATAGTCAGATAGACGAGATGAATCTTTCAACTCGTCTGCCCGTGATAACAGATGCTTTAGGAATTGAAACGCCGGGATCACATAGATATAAAATAATTAAAATCGAGTAGTAACCGAAAAAAATGTTTCATATAAATGTGTATATTTAAAAATCTTAGATATGATAATGCTATAAAATAATTGCATTGGTAAGGGATAGTACTAAATTATCAATAATGATTTTCGTTTTGAAGGTAACAGCCGACAGCAAGGACGAACGTTTGACTGGGTCTAAATCAAGTCGTTACACCTGTACTGAGTGTCATAAAACATTTTCACAATTACGTAATTATAAATATCATATGTCAGTGCATCGTGGTACAAAAGAGTTCGCCACAACGTGTCCAGTTTGCGGGAAATTCTTCAATGATAAAGGATATCTCAGTAGCCATATGAAAATACATAAGTATGTATAAAATTTGGAAACAAAAGCGTATTATTTTATACTGTTAATAATTATATTTTATATTTTCAGAAATCGTAAAGAATATAAGTGCAATATGTGCCCAAAATCGTTCAATCAACGAGTTGCTTACAACATGCATGTCCGTATACATACAGGTGAATTTCAATTCAACAATTTATTACCGTGACTCTGAAGTTTTACATTTATGCTCGATCAATGTTAGATATTACGGAACAAAAATATAAGAATAAAATCACACATTATTATAATTTTTGTTTCTTTGAAAAAATATGAAAATAAAATTGTGTTCACACAGTTTAGCGACACTAATATCATTAGTCACGTATTTATGAAGACTTCAACAATCAGTAGACGATTAATTTTAGTTATAACTTTACGTCATGTGAATAAATTGATGGTCACGTACAGAGGTAACATTCTTTAGCTGTAACATTTTTCATACTAAAAGCGCGATTATAGTGTTTTCTTCAAATATTTCACACTTTCACAATGTGTATAGCAAATATAAATTTATGACTGTATTGTGTGTCAAAGAAAATTCTGAGTCAATTTGAATATTTAATACCTATAACTTAAACCACTATACGTAATATATTATAGTTATCTATTATATGTACAGCTTTCCTTATTATAGTCGAGGATTTTAGTCGTAAACTACAAGAAAAAAGTCTTGGTATTGAGGTTAACTCCCACAAAAACATTTAAATTCTTTAAATCTAAGTGAATTTATTGCAAAAAAATATAAATACATTAAAATAAAAATAGAATAACTAGTGTAAAATTTCTATCAATACAAATTATGTTTAACTACAAGTTTTTTTTATACGTTTACGTAAACATTATTAAATAGACAATAATGTAAGTCATGTATCGTATAACTCACAGGCGTCAAACCTCACGTATGCGATGAATGTGGTAAAGCGTTCTCACGGAAGATGTTACTGAAGCAGCATCAACGGACCCATAGCGGAGAGCGGCCGTACGCTTGCCAGCATTGTAACAAGAGATTCGCTGACAGATCTAATATGACCCTGCATTTAAGATTACATACAGGTATATATTCGGGTTTATGTATCGTTTTATAGGCATTTTAAATTTTCTAAAGCTAGAAAAACTCTTCATTCGATGTATTCTCTTCTCCATACTTTAATTTGCGTCAAAAAATAAGCCATAGGGCTCAACCACACCACAAACATGAATAAAGCGTGTAGAATCTTTTCCCCATAAGAACAAGGGCAGCGCGGCGGTGTTGAGATAGCTTATCCAACTTAAGCGAAATTACACTTCGGAGCTTGAAACGCGAGTCGCACTGCAGAACGACGTATTAAAGTTCGAAAATTTCTTCCAATCATTTTAATATCGCTATTAAATCGTTCAGACTTTCATGTAAATAGTTTTTATATATATATTATATACAACCTCTATAATTTTTGGATATAATAGAATGCAAGTATTCTAAGTCTATAAGTCTATAGATATGTTCAGAACAAACAGCGATCGTCTAGATTAAAGATTATAACTGGATCTGCACCATCAAGACTACGTGATTTGACCCGCCCATTGTATAGAAAAATATGAGATCTATTCATAATTTTCTTATAAGAATAAACCTGATATTCCAAATAGCTACTATTTTATTATGATACATTACGTATTTAGATCAGACAACGTCAATTTATTTTATTAATGACGATGTAATCTAAGCTTAAATCATAATAATTTACAGGTGTGAAGCCGTTCGCTTGTACATTATGCCCGAAATCGTTTACCAAGAAGCATCACCTAAAGTCACACCTCAACTTCCACACTGGCGACAAACCTTATACTTGCCCACGATGCAAACTGGCTTTCACACAATCATCCAACATGAGAACACATTTGAAGAAATGTAACGTTCAAACAGATTAAATCTTTTATAATAATACTTGATTTTAACTAAAGAGGTCTAAATATATTTTTGTTTATTTATTTATTATCTATTTCATTATATTTTTCTTTCTTTTATTTAGTTTCGTTGTATTAACTTATGATGTTTATATCAATGTATAATAAAGTAAAGGTTTGAGAATAAAACCACAATTATATTTAACTCCTGTTTTAATCGGTTTGGTGTAAATGATATTATCAGGTGTACAAAATTACAGGCCATTACAGTGAGTATTTATTTTCTGGCGTATTAAATAATTATAATAATTTTTTTTCGTCGTCACAAAGCGTACAATCCTTTGTGTTTAGCAGAGATTATCAAATACAGTGATATATTGCTTACTTGGCCATATGCTAGGTATTGTACTTATAATTTAAGAACAAACTATTCTTAGGTTTTAGGTACAACTTTATACAAGATTGTTACAAAGTTTACGTTCGTATAATGACTGATTATTATAATTATAATATTAAACTGATATTGAAACAGAGCTGTATATTTACAAAGGTATAATGATGTTGGTTGAACGCCATGATGCCTCGAAAATCTAACTTTATCCCTCCTTTCACAGAAGAATAGTTATACAAGTATGTTATGTATATATTTTTGAGCGTTTTGTTCTATTTTATTTAGTTCTGATATGGAGTTATTTTGAGACACAATTTGTGCGCTAATAATCTTATATAAATATCCTTCTGTTCAAATGTAAAAATATAATATTTAACGGTTTAGTCACTAAAACAAAAATACAAAGTACAAAAATACATATGTTTCTATAAAATTCAAGTAAAACATGAACAATACAAGGAATGGCGATAAGTTATTAACAAGAACATGCATTGTAGCGTTTACACTTTAAATATTAAAAATATTTATAGCAGTGCCGAATAATATTACTAATAAATAACATCGCATGGAAGTAAAATACAAGCATAACGAGGAAGAATTTGATTCACAAATAACATTTAACTTTAAGAGTATAAAAATGTAAATTATCAAAAGTTCATTATCACCAAACATTAAATTTAATTTGACAATATAAAAATCAATATCTGCAGCGTTCACTGATGGTTATATACTAGTTTGTAAGCTATAATGCTCTTTTAGAATTCTAATTACAATTTTATAATCACGGAGATTCTAAAGATTACATTAATTACATCATATATAATAATAACACATCAAACACTTCTACGTATAAAGAAAAATTAATGTTTTATAAATTAATATAGAAATATTTGAAAAATATTATCGATTATCATGAAGTATTGACAAGCACAAAATAATGTTTTAAATACATATCAAAATATTATTGAAATCATGACGAAAAATAAATTTACCAGGTATATATTCTTGCGAAATTATTTGGATTTATCTCAACGGCAATTGATACAAAAAATCGGCTTTGTAGGTAAATGCTTGTTATAAAATATACGGATATTAAATTTATAAGTGATTGCATGTAAAAATCTTACGTTACGAACAATAGAAATATACAAAACAGTTGGTTCTACATCACGTATAAGATATACCCCAAAATTGTTATTTATACGACGGATTGCTTACACATAATGAGAACCAGTGTCTTAAATTACACACGCCAATATTCAAACTACATATTTATCTCAGCCTTTTCGAGTAGGAGAATCATAATTATCGAAATTTGGAATATAAAATAGTAACTAGTAAACTCGGTGAATAATAATTACATGTAGTAAATGTCGGTCAGTTCGTGTGACTGACGGAGCGACTACTACTCTACGACGTGAAGCACCATTTGTTCTAGCGTAGGGATAATGTACAAAGTTCATCCATTCTAATCTAAATAACATTAGAATTAATTTGATGCATATACGCGCGTACTCCGATAATTCATTAGGAACAACGTTTTAAAAATACTTTACGAATATGTCATTAGACAACTTAAATTATTAAAATATTAACGCGCTTTTGGCACTTAACTACTAATTTGAGATAAAAATTCTAGGATTCATAATATAATGGAAAAATGGGATGATTTTATTTGAAATTGTTTATGTCTTGATTGTGTACGTTGTTTTGGAGTTGTTTGAAAATATTAAATCCGATGTATATGGTATGAACTGCTGCTAAGACCTTCTTTGGTGAAATTTAAGCAATTCACGTTATAACGATGTATTGCTGCTAATCAATTACAAAGATAACAACTACATAGTATCTGCAGGTTTTATACGACGCTTACTATGATAGTGTAAGATATAATCAAAAAATTTAAATTTAAATATTTACAACATATTTACAAAAAAAAAACACTCTCACATAAATTAAATTAGTCGATGTCAGAATGTCCTATTTACAATAGAATTAAAAAAAAACACTTGAGCATTAGTATCAAGGGGAAGTTGCAGACCCTAATAAAAATATACCAAAGCTTAATAAAATAGGCTTACTTTCTAAATTTAATGCATACAATACAGTACTTAGTACTTATACGTATACAACGTACTAACGCTATAAATACAAAAGCCTAGTAGTAAATGTTCGTATCTAATCTCATAGCCTTATATAACACGATCCAAACGATTAATCACGATTGTTATTTCACATTAAAATACTTTCGGTTGATCACAAGTCTGGAATCACCCAATACGGCGGGGAAAATTACGTCCGACGAGATGGCTGCGGCTGAGGCAGCATTGGTTGTGATAATCAAGTGCACTCGATGATGAGCGGTTGGTTTGATTCTATAACACTCGGCCGAGACTCACTCTGCGCTGAACCGTAGTGTTGTTGTTCGTGTTCAGAAGGAGGCATTAACCCACGGTACTGCGAAACACCCGGGCCTGGTGAAAGCTGTCCATGGCCTGCTAGATGCGGTGTGGTGGTGTGCGCTTGCCCACCCATTATTGCTTCACTATGCGAAATTGACACTCTTGCCCCACCGGTTCCCACCATTCCTCCCTGCGTAGCAGAGTGGACTTCATATGCTTCGTGCCCCTCTCTTTCTTGGCAGTCTTTGTCGATGTTACCTGCAAAGTGCACGCGAAAATGAAATCGGCCGCGTTTAGTGAGAGCGCAAGTGAAAGTTGTGGTTCACCCACGAAGAGAAAGTGCATCGCGTTCATTTTACTCTCGCGAATAGACATGATATTATAGAAAAATCATATAAATTATTACAAATATTATAAATCTTTATTAAGTTTATGTGGAATGTGATAAAAGTGAAAAATAATACGATATTCAAATTTATTAAAATAAAATACTGCGATAAGTGATTGTAATTTTGATTGAACTCACCTATGCATTCGGTGTTTGCTGCATTCGTGATGGCGAGAACTTCCTCAATATTGTTGGGCTTACAACTTGTCGTTTTCCAGTGAGTTCGTAGTCCGGAGGCACTGATGTATTTTTTGTCACATCCTTGACAAACGTATGGCCTGTCATTTGTGTGAAGTCGCTTGTGAAGTTTCAAATGGACAAATTGTGTGAATTTTTGCATACAGAGATCACAAGCATATGGTTTCTGCCCTGAATGTAACCGCAGGTGTGTTTTTAAATTAGATGTAGACGAAAATCGTTTTTTACAAATATCACATTGATGTGGTTTTTCTCCGGTATGTACTAAGTGATGTTTCTGAAGGTGAGCCAGCTGTGTGAAGGATTTATTGCAAACGTTGCATTTGAAAGGTCGTTCCCCGGAATGTGTTCGTAAATGGACCTTTAAATTAGATAGTTGACCAAATGTTTTGCAGCATACGTTGCACTCATAATGCATTTTCCCGTCCTTTTTCTTTAATGGGTAAGGTAGACTTCTATATCCACGAGATGATTGTGAGTTAGGGCTCATGGGTGCAATTAGACTGCATGTTCCATCAGGACTTAGACTACTATGTTGTGGTACCAGCTGCCCATTAATATTAGAATTTTGAATTAAGCTCAATTGAGAGCAATTTTTCAAAGTTATAACACTAGTCGAAGATGGATAATGGTGATTAGCTTGACCATTTGGAGCCCTTTCATATTGATGAGAAGATGAAATTGTAGGAGAGTAAGTAGTGGGTGGCGATCCCAGCTGTGTAATTATTGTAGAGTTAGGTGGAGAATATAAACTGTAAGAGTAATTAGGATAGTGGCTTTCATATCTTGTTTCTCTTATTTCCCTTATTTCTCGTATTTCACGGATTTCTGTTGTATGAGGAATAGTGTGAGGAGGTGAAGAAGAGTAAACCGAAACTGAATTAGGTGTAGGTAACTGTTGTGGTAACGGCAGTAAAGATGGTAAAGGCGTTAGGTTTGAACTAGAATCAGGGCTGCAGGCATTACCATATCTTTGACTTTTCTTGTAAGAGTACGCCATCTCTGTGGGCGATGATGGTGGTGGAGTAGCATTTGGTTGTCTTCTGTTTGGATCATTATTATTTGTGTCAATCCTATTTCCAGTCAATATCGTTTCAAGTATTCTTGTATCTGGAGGCGAGTATCTCATGAAAGCTGGCTGTGGTGAAGGCGATAATGTACCGTCTTCATAGTAAGGCTTATTTAAAGGTACTACTGTGTTTTGAGAGGACTCTAGAACGATAACCGTAGAACTAGCAGGATCTCTTCGGGTTGGAGATAAATTTTGTGGCGAGGTATGCATAACTTCTTCAGCTATAATCATTTCTTTTTCACTTTCACAATCCATATCTTTGTGATTCTGGTATTGATAAGCTCTTGGCATTTTTATTTTTACTTTTCTGTATTCATTTCTATGCATATCCTGATCAATTTTTTGGACTATAACAGTTTCTTTTGGTTCATTTGTTTTATTTGAACAGTCTAGAACATAATTTTCGACATCGGAGTCACTCGAGTCTTCTGGGGGAGTAAATTCATCGTGATATCCATTGCTGTGATAACCTTCATCTGACCGAACTGAACCATCAGTAGGTGTCAGTTGATGCTCATAATGTGATGGTACACAATGAGGAAAACTGGGAGATTTACTTCCAAGTTTGTCTTGATTATTTTGTGATAAGGGAGATGGTCCTCTAATATCCCTCGTATGTTGAATTTGAGCAGGGGATCGATTGCTATGTGTTCTTGAATTATCAAGTTGATGTATAACAACATGCGATGTGCTCTCTTTGTGCTGATGAATTATTAACGTTTGATTGTTATCTCTATGCATCTTAACCGGTGATGGCGGTTGCATTAAGTTGCTAGGTGATAGTGAATGATGTTCGTTATGATTTGGGCTCTCAGATTTCGGGTGTATGAAATTTGTGGCGATATCTGACCTTACGATAGATCTTTCATTTTTTATTATATTTCTTGGGTCTTCACGAGGTAACATGATTTGATCTTCGTGTAGTGATTTATCACTCGCTTCTCTTTTTCTTCTCCTGCTAGGTATTTCTGCCTCTAAAAGATCTTTTGCGTTTGTCAGACCCAGAACATATTTCATGTGGTTAAAAGCAATCTCAGGATGAACAGGGGCAGGTGGCAATCCATACGCCTTTTTTATTGTTTCTTCCTTGCCTTTAACAAAATAATTTAATTAGTTTAAATAAACACGATAAATACAAAGAAAAAGTGAAAATTTTGTCTCATGAATTATTGAAAATAGGAAATATTGCCTGATAATTTTGTTTGACATAAGAGCATAAATTTGTGTCAATTAAAATGAAAAGTGCGATATATAGTATAAAAGTATTTTAACTTACATATTGAATAAGTCGCTCTTTCAGGATCAATGTCATAACCAAGCCTTGTAGCAAAATCCTTGCAGTACCATACCATAAGTTCTTCATTTGGCATAATGTCTCTGTAATTAAATATTAATAGTGTTATATGATTTTCCAAAAAACGGTGTTGTTTAAACTTCAGTGAAATGTAGTACTTTTAGAATAATATTCACATTAATTACCTGATTGTGTAAAAGTAAATGTGTTCTTGATGTTGACAAGCAACGAGATTCATGACGGAAAGGGAATATGCTGAGGCGACATATCTCATCCAGTTAGCGACGCTGGTGTCCGATCCATCAAGGTAATAATAGTCACTATCTTTGAATATCTGTAATGGACATTTACTTCTATTATTTAATGTTTATTTACAACAACTTCTTCTAGCCCATGACAAGCCGTAACTGATATAGGAAATTGATAGGCGTAAAATAGTGTTTTAAGTGTTTACTTTACACATATTGAATAGAATTGTGGCACGTGTTTAATATTTACAGTACGCGTGCACTTGATAACAACATGCTACTGATTATTATACTAAGTCAAGGACGACATTTAAAGTTACTTTTATTGAGATTTATTTTCACTTTTTCACAATTTATGGAATTCTTTGTAACATAATATTTTTTACATGATGATGTCATGGAGAAGAAAAAACAGAAATACTATCACCATGTAAAGAAAGAAGCCCAATCTCACCTTAATATTTCCATAAGTATGATGTCTGACAGTTTCTTGTACCTGGCCCAACATAGAGAGGTTTAGGTTAGTAAGAGTTATGTAGCACTAAGTTTATGTATTTTGAAACAAGTTGGTTTCTAAATAAGTAGGCATAGTGAATAATTATCATCAGACATAGGAGAGGACAGAAAAATAGCCAGAACCGAACTAATGAGTTAGACAAAAAAGTGGTAAAAGCGTTGCATAGAAATGCTATATGTACATTAAGTTTACTAAATTAAATTTACTTACCCTCCAATAATATCGCCACGAAACTTTGTCATTTGGTTTATTAGGTGTTCGTGTTCCTTCAAATGGTCCAAATCTCGTACCGCGGGGTATAACTCCCTTACTCCAGACTCCTTCCGTCTGTAGGTTATAGTAAAGAATTTAGTTTTGGAAGATTTAAAATGGCTGTAGAATCTTCCATTCTTGGTATTTGTAGTTATTTTAGTATGTCAGCTTCCTTACCGGTGTGTTGGGTGTAGACAGAACTGCAGATGGCCTCAGTGCCAAGCTCCGAGGGAGCGTTCTCTCTGCTCTGTTTGTCACTCCTCGTTCACATGGCACGTCGGGTACTATGTATACTGTGAGTCTTTCAAACTCTTCTTCACGCATGCGTGTCACGTCATATGATTCCGAAGCACCCACCGCGCCGACAGCGCCCGCGCCGGGGCTAGCTGTGCGGCCGACTGTTGTTGATGGTATCTCTTCACTTGTAGACTGTTCGAGAAAACATACATAATCAGTCTCCTTTACTACTACCACAAATTTGTTCATTGTAAGAGAGGAATACAAATTGAGTTCAAAAGAAAACAATGCGAAAAATGTCAAACTGCTATCAATCATTTTCAAAAGCAAAAGTGTTTAAACGAAATGCATTCCACCTTTTCCATAGCTTGCACTTCCGACGTTGTTTACTTATTTTAAATCTAAACTGCCTATAATGAGAGCTTATTTTTGCAAAGTAAGATACGACGATGACGGCGCTGTTCAATAAAGGGGCGGTGCTACTACTGACCCACTTTTATTACAAGTGCGCACTTTTCACCGCGCACCGACACTTCCCATTTCCCTATTTATATTTTCCGCAAAATTAATCTATCCTTCATACTACTACGTCTCAGAATGTAATGAAAAGTAACAATTTTCATAAATCATTATTAAAATTAGAAAATGTACTTACCAGCCTCATTTTGATGATCAAATCTATCCTTTAATTATTTATTAATCAGTAACTGAAACAAAAAAAAACAACAAATCAGAAAAAAAGAACCAGTAATTATCAATTAGTAAATATAAAAAAATATAATTTCAAATTAGATTAAAATATAAATAAGAATGTTAATTGGAATCGTATATTTTTTTTGTTTATTTTCTATATTCTAGATATCAACAAACCATAAAATAACCAGACTTTTATTTAATAAACATACTTTAAAACTAAATTTCATAGTAATAAATGTAAAATGTAAAATATTAAGAAACAACTAAACAAAATAACATTTTCACATAAAATATTATGTATGTAATCTATAGAATTCATCTATTCTTTGAATGTTCTATTTCCAGATACACATTGACGTTGGGTAATTTAAAGTAGGAATTATTGCATAATTTATGTAGGAAGTGCGTATGCGGCCATCGACTCCAGTCAATATAAATGTTAAATATGTTTATATGAACCGGTCCTATTTGAATGTCAAATCCAAACCGTTGCGCAAGCGCTTGAGTGGATTCATGTAAATAAAAGATAAAGACTTCTTTACCTATAAAAGAACAATTTGAACTATGCTTTCACAGTATATTAAAACAATTATAGAAGAAGACACATAAAATTAAGGTTTTATATCAAAACAAAAACCTGCTTTGGAAAAAATAATATGCTCTCTTAAAATAAAACAACATAACTAGGTATATAGTTTAAATTGAAAATAATTTCTAATAAAATAATAAAAATTGTCTAAAGACACAAATGTAGGTATACATTTAAAGAATTAATTGTGTTTGAAGTCATCAAGAAAAAGATATTATCATATATTATTAAATGAAATAATACTTCAATATTGGCTGCACGTGACCTAACACGCGGCTTGCAATGCGCCCGCGCAATGTCAAGATCTATGAGACGTTTAATGGCTCTTATCTCAACACTTCAGACTATATGATTAGCAAATAATAACAATTTGAAAACAATTTAAACACAGTCCCGGATGAATGAATTTCAATATTAACAATTAAATGCACATTCAAATGTATGTATTCTGGTTTGAACAATTTTCGTTAATAGAATACAAAAAGAACAAAGCGGAATTGAAAATACATTTTCTTTTCTTTTGAATATATATAGGATGTTAGATGGTACATTAATTGATTTGTATCAATGTTGATTGTTTATCACTGTTTGTCTGTATGTTTTATTGATTTATTGGATGAGTACATGTGCAATACAAGCAATTTAAACGATTATTATGTATTTGCAATATTTAAAATTTTACTTAAATATAGAAACATTTAATGATAATATTTTCTAAATTAAGGAGAGCTGTATCATATTTTATTACAAGTATTTTTCTAATATTAATTGCAATTCATTATCAAATTTATATTGGAGCGGGTATAAGATTATCTCTAATTATTCTGTAGACATACATAGATGATTAATAATATCAGGTTAAATAAATAAAATCAATGTAATTTGTGTTAAATGTTGGTATAGAATAAATTTATGTGCAATTAGAAAAACATTTATGCAATAATAGAATACTAAATGATTGCATAACAGCTGTGTTGTAAAGAATAGATCGCGTCGCGTCGGCGCGGGCGCATTAGGAAGCGACACAACCTTGGACGTAATACATGAACTTGCCCTTTATATCTGACTTGCACACTATCTAACAGATAACAGATCACTATTATATCTAATGATATCCACTGTACTCAAGTCTCACACATAAATTTAATGCATTTATTTAATATTAAAATGTAATTAATTAAATTTCAATTATAATTAATTATTATTTATAAGCTTTGAATAGTTTTTACAAGTTCTGTGTAAACTTATTTTCAATGAGTTTTTCTAATCATATCACCTTCAAGAAAATGTTGATTATTGTAAAAAAATGTAATTGACCAACAAAAGTTTTACAAAGAATAGTAATTCAGTAAATAATACCGTTTAAAAGTGATTGTGTTACATATTTGGATATTAAGGAAATGGGTTCCTTTGTTATGTTCCCACAATATAGCTCATTACATTATATTACATATGCAAGTGCAAACGAACCTTGCAGTCTAATAATAATTTGATACGTAGATGGTTCCACTACAAATAGATGTATTGGTAGGATTGACACCATAATTATGTATGCAAATTTCCGTATTTAAAAGTAAAGTCTCTGTCAAAATCTACAAAGGGTTCATGAAAGAGTTTTCCTTGAAGGTCTTTTTTTACAGGAAATTATAATAGAGGATATATTTCTAACATGTTTTTAAATATTTTTCTCTATTTTTTTATTTAAAAAAAAATATTTTGTATAAATCTATTTCAATCTTAGTTTGATATTTTCAAGTGGGGCCAATATACATTTAAATGGTAAAAATATTTTGTGGATAAAGAAATATTATTATGATGTTATTTTATTTAAAGAAATTTGTCTCAATATATGATTGTTTTTCTCATAATTGTTTTTTCCATACAATAAAATAACTCAAAATCATAATTTAAATGTAATTCTGAATAATAAAAGATTATCTTTAAACAAACACTGTCTAACTACGATGAAAGCGTAATCAATACTTACAAAAAACGTATTATAATTCATTCTTCCTTAAACTTTAACTTGCCAGTACGGTGAATAGTTCCGAATACAAAATGATTGTCTTTGATGTGAATGATATAATTAAATAAAGACCGAACGGCCTAAGGGAGGAGAGCGATGTCGAGCGACTTGAGGTACTCCAGCAGTATGCGGAGCGCCAGCAGCGGGACGAGCGGTGGCAGCCAGCGCACCGGTCTCATGACGGCTCGGCTGGCTGGCTACTGGCTGGCTGGCTCGGCTGGTAGCGGGCTGGCTACGCGGGAGCGGGCCCCGGCGGCCGGCGTGCCTGACTGTGCTCGCAGCGCATTATGCAACGCAGCTCACCGACCTGCCCTACGTCTAGCCGAGGATCGCGTCGCACTAAACCGACGCGACGCGCCGCTATGCCGACCGACCTAGATGCACTTTTACAACGGCGAGAATGCCATCGACACACATATTCGCGTCTCGTTCCGATAAACGCATCGACGACGAAAGCGGCTCGTGATGGAGAATGCGGACGAATTTGACAGCGAGTGCAGTGAGTACGTCACGTTCACGCCTAGCGTTCGCCAATTAGATGAGAGAGGGATGGAGCGGCGCAGTGCGACCGAGCCGTGCATTCAAGTTCATTACTTCCGTAGTGTGGCGGCCGCGGCGCGCCCTGACCGTGCTCCCGATACAAGCTTGCACTTTATTGAAGGTGCCATGTGTATGACCACGGAAACAATACTTTCTATTAATACATCCGCTGCCATTAACGATCATCTAACAATTACGTAGCTCCGTTTTAGGTACGTCACTACACACTTCCGACATATTTAGAACTCGAACACACTAATGACTTCACTTATATAAAAACTATATTCACCTTTTAAAATCAATAGCGTTATGGCAAATATCACATTCTGTAAAGAGAATGCAGCCAGCGGTATAATAAAGTTTAAAACAACGCACAAAAGGTTAGCGTGAGAACGGTAGCGAAAGCCATGGCAGGGCGGGCGGGCGCGCCTCTGCCTCCCCGGAACATGCTTTCACTCTCGCGGGTCGTCGACACAGCCTTCATGATCCCTTACCCATGATTCTCGAACTGAAAACTGTGTAAATCACTATGCGTGTCCCTTTCTAAAAGAGTCATCCCGGAAAAGGACAGCTTTAACAGTATGAACAGAAAACTTAAACGTACAACGTATTTCTTAGTAGGGGTGATGCATTTCGTCCCCCGTCAGTGCACCCTGATAGTTGCTACCTACCATTATTCAATATCGATTTCACTATTTACAGCCTGTAATCTGTTAATAGTCACAAACCGTTTGGATTCTGAATAATGGACCTGTCTGGCTCGAGCAAAAAGCACTTTTATATTTATTTACGTCACTATATGTTTTAGATTTGTTTGTTATCATTATATAATAATAAATTCCATACACTATACTTCTATCCAACGACGTTTAAGAAAACTATTACTTTTCACGATCTAGTTAGGTACTAATATACTAACTTATCATACGTTGAAATATTTAATGATAATAGTATATTTGTAGAAATATTATTTTGTTATACGTAAAATTTTGTTAGAATAACATAGTTATCAACACGACAGTGTAATTGTCAAAGATAAATTTAATAATAAATAATTTAAATAATTTTCTATTATCGATTCTTTATTATAGAACGCTGAAAAAACTCTGCCTAATGACTTCCTAACACAACAAGAGCTATCCAAGTCGCCCTATAATATTAAACATGACCTGCCCTAATGTCTGGCTCCTTTTAGACTCTGACGTTCTGAACACCCTTTTCTCTATTATCGATTTGAGCAGCTGTCTCTAATTGGACCGAGCCTGGATCTAGGGACTTGTGTCATCTCAAGATTTATTTGTCACAATCACAGCAGATCGATAAAGAGTATTTTTAAGACCTGACAAAACGAATTGATAGATTTAGTTCATATGGGGTTGGATACCGATATGTTATTTATTGGTTATATTTATATCGCATCTATTTTTAGTGGAGATTTTAGTTTTAATACTTTTTGTTCGAGATTTATAAAATCAAGACGTTCCAAAACGATATAGTATAATCGATCGTCAATTAGAGCGTTAAAAAGGAAACGCTTCAAAGAAAATGCATTTCCATCGGAGGCTTGGTATCAAAACACTGAATCTTCCGGGGTGGATGCCCTCGTAGCTAGCCCCCGCCGCCCGGCGCCGCGTCTCGCTCGCTCTCAGGCTGTCGCTTGACGCGCGAATAAATCGCACTCGCGCGTGTGTGCGAAAAACGTTTACTGTACGAGTATTGGGAACAGCGGTCGTTGACATCACACCAATTTTCTTTAGGCTTAATGCTAGGTTTTAAAGCTTTGTTATCTAAATTCTACTATTTAGGGTTATTGTATTGATATTATTAATATTGTCTTAGACTCGAGAAAATGTGTGAGAATCGTACATGATGTAATAGAGGTGTAATTACGTATGGATAATTTTGGAATACGTTTAATAAATACATAATAATTTAAGCAATTATTTCAGTTCTAAGTACATAGGACTTAATTGAATATACAATTAATAAACTAACCATTTTCGATAATAATGTGAAGGTATTAAGAAGTAAAAAGGAAGCCTCATAAATATTTAAGATTTTTAGTTTGTAATATTTGAATGAAATCATCGTGTTATAATTATATTATGCTTTTAGTAGACATTTTTGCTGCGAAATCTTTAAAAGTCAATAATGCCATAGTTGTAATTGTGTATGTAAGCATTATTGATCTTGCTATACTATTCAGTGTGGTGTCTATGTATGTCTGTAGATGTGCCCACAGCCGACACTGCAAACTCGATTTCCCCCTTCTTGGGGTAGGCTTCAATACTCATTCATGCTTTTTTCCTGCTCTATCCCGATGCTGGGTATAATGCGTTCCCTTTCCCGGTGCTTCCGTGTTGACGTCTGTATATACGCGCATGCACTAGACCTAGCCCAATGCAACGAATTTTGCGTAGGGTCGTTGTCCTCCCCAGCCTATATCTGAACCGACATAGCCATTAAAGGAACATTTTGGCAAATATATTCAGCTAAATCTTTCTAACCGTCTGTACAGCTATACTTTTATGACGTCCTTTATATTTGTTAAACATTTAATTTCGTTTGTGCAAATTGTTTAACTGCCAGTCGGTAGAAACAAAGGGTAGCACAACAAAAGATCTATTTGTTGTGACTATAAAGTAAAATGCTAAAAAACGCCTTTTGCACAAATTGCATTTTTTGCTGAGCAAAATTCTAAGGCTTTTTTAGAATTGAAAATAAAAGGAAGGTCCATTAAAAATTGTACAAGGTCTTGCAAGACAATTAACGAGAACAAACTGTAATGGTCGCCATATAAAAAAGGTATTTAGTGTTAGGAATTCTTGAAACTTATATAATAATTTAAGTTGATTTTTTTCTTAAAAAAGGTATTTTTGTTAAAAAAATTGAGAGGTTTTTTAGTTCAGCAACAAAGCCATATAGTGCGGTGTTATAACGTAAGTGTAAAATGAAGTGCATGGAAGTGTTAAGTACTAGTCTAGAATGTTGCTAGGGTCAAAAGCCGCGCAGTATGTCAGCGCTTAGTATTCCACGGGTCCGGGCCCGGCCGGCTAACGGGACTCTTCTACACCGGCCTTTACTTTCATCGATCCAACCGACCACGGTTTACTTTCCTTTGTTACTTACTTCTTTATATTTTGATCTATTTTTGTTTCGATTAACTATTTTATTTAACATAACAATAGACATTCTTTTAGAATTAATGTGACTTATATATAATACAGATACTTTATACGTTTGAAGATTTTCTGTTTTATAACCCGCATAATATTTAATACCGCCGTGACAGAGCGGTTTCATAATTATCCGTGGTTAGTAAAAAAAAACTAACAAAAGGCGAGAGGCAAGTGTATGCACAGATCGCAGGTAGAGGATTAAAATCCGGAAAAATAACAACGGAGCTTTTAAAATGGATGTACCGTTAGATTCACTGGAGCTGACGTTACAACAATGAAATATGATAGTCAATTATTAACAATATATTTATATAAATTTTATATCTATTTATATACAATATAATATTCAACGCAGGTTTATGTGAGGTATATTTCCAGTGTATAACTGTACAATCATTTCCTGAAACTTGACTCATATATCCTTTTCAAATAGGTTTATAGCCTAGACTTTTGAATACGGCTTCCATACATAATATCTATGTTGCACTAGACGAGAACGGCATAATCAAGTCTCTTTAACTGAGTTTAGTTTTGTGGTAAAACCTTTTAAAATAACGTACGAATTTTTGCATATTATCCTTTGTTAACTATAATTATATAATGAACCAGATAAACGATTCCACTGCTATTGTGTATTGTAAATTACTTCCCATTGAACAGGTAGAACCTTCTCGTATAGTGTTACGCTTGATTTCGTTCAAAGATTTTTCATACGGTACCTATGAGACCCTGCTACCGTTAGGTCGTGTCGATAAAAAATATACTAGAGGGTGAACATTAGTCTCAGTTGGAAGCCACTTCTAATATTATATTAGATTCTTGATGTTAATATATTTGTGTATAGATACATAATATAAGCGATACTATTGTAGTAATGAATCATAAGTAAAAGTTAAATACTTGTAGTGCATTCATTCATTGATTAAACATCGAGACGGGTCATTGTACAATCTTGACACGGTCCGAGTACTTCGCATGCCCTCCGGTGTTTCCCTATTGCATAATGCTGTAATTATATTTATAAAACGTATTGTTGATAGTTGGGGTGACAATGTACGGAACCAAATATCGTATTGTGCGCTATGGTATCATCATGGCCACCGGAAACCTTCTCCAAACGAGTGCTATGTATGTAGGACGATTCGTAATATCAAAACACTTTTTGTGTCTAGTGAAAATCATTATTTTATTAATTGATCTCTGTTTAATTTAACATAAATTTTGTCACAGAAGAAATTTGATTTGTTACTAACATATACTTAGTTATTGCTACATATATATTGATTTAGAATGTATATTGATAATTATCTTCGTGTTATTATTGTTTGGAAGACAATGTAAGGTCAAAAAGTGACGATGCAAGAGCTATTGGAGCATGAATGTTACATAATAGGTGCGTGCTCGCTTGGGGCAGGGTACCGTTGCTCGAACAGGTTCCACGCATTAGTCCCTTTGCTTCGAGCATTTACTTTCTACCCATCAAGGACCTTCCTGGCACTCCCACGCAAGCGCAAGTGAACTCACTCACACAAACTGTTGGATTTTTAGATTTGTTTATGAAGTATTTGTGTATAATATCATCTTTGTTCTGAAAATGCCGCGATCAAATAATATGAAAAATATTTACGAGTACATACTAGTAATTTTATTTACTTGCTTATTGTTATACTTTGCTATAAATATGTCTTATTGAGCCCGATATATGTTGCTTAGAATTATATTATGTTTTATTTATGATATAATAATAATATTCTAACATATTATTTAAATATATGTAATTTTATTCCTATATAATACAACCTTTACAATAATTAGAAAGCATCCTTTTATTTATTATAATGGATCAAATTTTATAGTCCATAAAAAACATTACTCGTCCGTTCATAATCGTTGATATTGTTTTTTCAAACAAAGAAGGAAAATTAATAAGATTAAGGCAGCATTTGTCGAATAACTGTTAACATTTGTGTACTAATGAATTGAAATTTTAAACATCGAATATATGCGTCATTGTGGACAAGA